TTTGTTTTTCCACCTGTTTACCCTACATTTCACACGCTCAACGGTGTCTGCTGACCTTGCCAAGCGCGGCAGCCGACGGCAGCTTGTCCCCCCCGCGCTCTTTGGGACCGTGCCCTGCCGACTGATGCGGACAACAGTCGCGTTGAGCGCCCCTTGGACGCTTCGGGTTTCTGTTATCCTCTCCTTCGGTGGCTCACGGCCCCTGCTTCCCCGCCTCTTTCCCGACGTTGCTGCTTGCTTTGCTGGTATCCATGCTTGCTCACATTCATCTCTGCACTTTGGCGCTCCTCCGCATCTCATTTTTCATGCCGGCCATCCCTGCGCGCACACCTGGATGGGACGCGCAACGTTCGCGCCGGCCGCGCGTCTATTCTGTCAGCCAGCGCTCGCGTTGCAATGTGGCGGTTGCGCTTCTTATGGTGCCTACCCCGCGCCGCGCTGCCAGCCGCTCTAGGCCATGCTGCGTCGTCCAGCCCACCTCGAGTGTCTTACCTCACCTCCAACCTACCGCGCCCACTGTCTGTGCCTGCTTTTGCCCCGCAGATCAAAAGTCTGTGCCTGCTACGTTACGTTCGCATGCGTGGACTTTGAGGGGGAGGTGGCCCCGGCGCTTCGAGGGCGGGGGAGGAGTCTATCTTGCGTTAGCATGGATTGCACTGGGCCAGCCAATACTGACTGTGTCGGCCCTGCCTAGATGCTTCCTCGCTCGCGCCATGCAGCGCAGCAGCCCCATGGTTGAACACCTGCGAAGCTACGCACCTTCCGTGCCAGCCGGACGTCTCGTCTGACAGTCAGTTTTTGTAGGCGGTTGCGCTTGCAGTGCCGTTTTTAATACATGCTCCGCGTGCGGATCATGTATTAAGAATGCAGGGATGTCGTATGAAAAACAACGATGGGTTCTTGCATACATTCATTCATAAATTAATCATGAATTAAAAATCATATGTTTTTAAACATCCCATGTATTAAAACCTGCCCTGTATGGTGCCTGCCCCGCGCCCTCCTGCCAGCCGCTCCAGGACATGCTGCGGCGTCCAGTCCACCTCCACCGTTTTACCGCACCTCCAACCTGCTGCACCCACTGTCAGCACCCGCTCTGTTGCGCAGCAGTTATGGGCTTTTGGGGGGGTTCTTACACGACTGAGAGGTAAACCAGTCTACCATCACGAACTGGGGTTGCAGCCCAAGGAGTCCATGCTTTGGCCAGCCGTGCATTGTTCTAACCACGGGGTAGCCGCTCCAAGATCATGTCTACGTCTCCTGTCCTCACCCTCCCTTCCAGGGCCCCCTAAATCGCGGGGCGCGGACTGCATGCTTTGGCCATGGGATTGCACTGGGCCAGCCAGCACAGACTGTGCCAGCACATCATATACGTGCGCACTGTTGCCAGAGTGCGCACCTGGCGCGCCAGCCGCACGTCGCGTTTGGCAGCCAGTCCTTGCGGGCAGCTGCCCTCACGGTGCTTGCTCCGCATCCTCCTGCCAGCCGCCCCGGACCATGCGGCGACGTCCAGTCCACCTCGATCGTCTTGCTCTCCTCCTACCTCCAGCGCGAACTACCTATGCCACTCCTTTGCCTGGCCACCCAAGGGATCGGGCACAAGAAGGGAAGCGGCCCCAGGATGGCACCTCTGCGCAGACTAAGCACCCCATGTGCCAGCCGTGCGTCTTTACTGCCAACCAGTTCTTGTGTTGCAGTGGGGCAGCTGCGCTTGCGGTGCCTTCCCCATGCCCTTCTGCCGGCTGTTCTGGTTTTTCTTGCAGCCTCCAGCCCACCTCCATTGCATTGCCTCTCCCATCTAATCTTACGCATCCACTGTCTGCGCCTGCTCCGTTACGTTCGCAGCTTTTTGCGGGGTTAGTTCGGGAGTGCGGCGTCTAATGGAATTGCGGTGGAGGAGGAGCTCATGAAGGGTAGCCGCCCTAGGGTTGCACTTTTACGAAGACTAGCACATATGTGCCAGCCTCGCGTCCTCATTGCCAGCCAGGTCTCGCATTGCTCCTACCCTAACAAACGTCGCAGCCCGTGGACTGCATGCACAGGCCTGCCGTGCGTTGTTCCTGCCCGCGTTTCTTTCAATTGCCTTTCAGGTAGCAGCCCTCGTATTGCACGCGGCCAGCCAGCACGCTCACTTGCCTTTGCCAGGTGCATGTTGTCACGGTAGCAGGTACTTTCGTCGATGGAGGTGGTTCAGGTATTATGTCGGTGGGGGGGGGGGGGGCACATGCCAAGGTGCACCTGCTGCCGTTTTACCACCTGGCGGGTGTGCCTACTCCAGGTACCCCTCTCGGTCACACTCCGTGTGTTTCCTCCTTTTTCCGAGGCGCCCGCCAAGTGTATTTGCGCTGCGCCAAGCCGGCCCACCACACTTTTCCACGCACGCCACAGCCCCCAGCTAAGTTTAGCCCAGCGGTGAAAAAAGGAGGAGGAGATGGAGGAGGAGCAGGAGCAGGAACAGGACCAGGAACAGGAGCAGCAGCAGGAGCAGGAGCAGGAGCAGAAGCAGGAGCCGGAGGAGGAGAAGGAGGAGAAGAAAACAGAGCGCGAGCAGGAACACAAGCAGGAGCAGGAGCAGGAGCAGGAACAGGAGCAGTAGGAGGAGGAGAAAGCGGAGGAGGAGGGAGGAGGAGGAGGAGGAGGAGGAGGAGGAGGAGGAGGAGGAGGAGAGGATTACCCGACACGTTGGTGGCTCCTCGCTCACACTTTCATATTCTTAAAGCATCTGACATTGTTTTGCCTGCTGAGCACCAGCATCCTCATGCGTTTACTTTGATGTTCTTCCATTGCTGCTGGTTCTTTGTGCCACTAGCTGGCGCATGCAACGAACACTCGGTCGGGAGGGTATCGGAGGTGGTGATGAGAATTGGGGGGTGGCCGGTATATTTGGCTGGCCGTCGCACACGTAATGCCATTCCCTTTCAAGTTTGGCGTCGTTGCAACTTATCTTAATTTCACATACAGTGGCAGCACGACCTATGACTATTACGTCTCTCTGTGTTTCTCGTGTATTTGCTAAGGTCCGTGCTGTCCTACTGTATTTGGCCTTCGCGACGACACTCACCATCGATCGCAAGGATGTTTCTAGGTTGTTGCCTCTATTTCCTGTTGTCGCCCTCCTACTAGGGTGAGTCTCGTCCCGCCTGGCGGGCGCCAACTCTCACTGATATTCTCGCCTGTTGCTCGTACTCTTTCATATTCCGCGGCGCCCGCCAGGTGCTTTTTCTTGACCCGAATCGTTTTTTCTTGCACTTCAAGAGCGCCACATGTGCACACAGAAGGCCTAGCCAACGCAAGAGGAGGAGGAAGAGGAGGAGGAGAGAAACAAGGAGGACGAGGAGGAGGAGGAGGATAAGGAGGATCAGGAGCAGGTGCAAGAGCAGCAGCATCAGCAGCAACTCCAAACAGTAGCAGCACGAGCTGGACAATGAGCAGGAGGAGGGGGATGAGGGGGAGGAGGGCGAGGAGGAGGAGGAGGAGGAGGACGAGGAGAAGGAGGAGGAGGAGGAGGAGGAGGAGGAGGAGGAGAGGAGGAGGAGGAGAGGAGGAGGAGGAGGAGAGGGGGGAGGGGGGTAGGAGGAGGAGCAGGAGGAGCAGAAGGAGGAGAAGGAGGAGGATTAGGAGCAGGCGCAGGAGCAGGAGCAGGAGCTGGAGGAGGAGGAGGAGGAGGAGGAGGAGCAGGAGCAGGAGCAGGAGCAGGAGCAGGAGCAGGAGGAAAAGCAGGAGCAGGATGATGAGAAGCAGGAGCAGGAGGAGGAGGAGGAGGACGAGGAGGAGCAGGAGGAATAACAAAACTAGTCATACTCGTAAATGAAATAGTTAGCAATACTTGCACTGATGACAGCAGTAGTAATACGAATCCGAATGATAATACTAATACTAATACTGCCAACAATACAAATACGAACACGAATCCTAGTACTCAGCAGAGTAAGGCATACTAACCATACTGATATTGCTGCTATTAGCAATACTTGCACGCACACTACTAGTACGGTAACGAAGAATACACATACACATAAGGAGGCTACGAAGACTACGACTACGAACAATACTAATAAAACTGCGAATCCGACGACGAATACCCATAAGACGACTAATTCGAAGACTACGAATACGAATACACATAACAGGAAGTTTACTTGAACTTGTATGAGGTAGTAGTGCTATTAATGATAACGCTACGCAGAAGAAGACTAAGGCAACTGATACGAATCAGGCGAATCCGAATAGTGCCTTCACTCTCATCACTAAAGCAGTAATGCCAGGAGGAGAAGAAAGAAGCATAGGAGGGCAAACACGGAGGATAACGAAACAACACAAGAGGAGGAGGAGGAGGAGGAGGAGGAGGAGGAGGGGGAGGAGGAGGAAGAGGAGGAGGAGGAGGAGGACGAGGAGGGAGCATGGAGCAGGAGCAAAAGCAGGAGCAGAAGCAGGAACATGAGCAGGAGCAGGAGAGCAGGAGCAGGAGGGGGAGGAGGAGGAGGAGAAGGAGGAAGAGGTGGAGGAGGATGAGGCGGAGCAGGAGGAGGAGGGAGGAGGAGGAGGGAGGAGGGAGGAGGAGGACGAGGAGGTGGGAGGAAGGAGGGGGGAGGAGGACCAGGATGGAGGAACAGGAGGAGGAGGAGGAGCAGGAGAGGAGGAGGAATAGAGGGAGGAGGAGGAGGAGCAGGAGGAGGAGGAGGGGAGGAGGAGGAGGACGAGGAGGAGGAGGAGGAGGAGGAGGAGGAGGAGGAGGGGGAGCAGGAGGAGGAGGAGGGGGGAGGAGGAGGAGGACGAGGAGGAGGAGGAGGGTAAAAGAGGAGGGAGGAGGAGGCGGAGGAGGAGGAGGAGGAGGAGGAGGAAATGGAGGAGGAGGAGGAGGAGCAGGAGGAGGAGGAGGAGGAACGGGAGGAGGTCGAGGAGGGCGAGGAGGAGGAGGAGGAGGAGGAGGAAAAAAGAGGGGGGAGGACGGGAGAAAGCAAAGCGACGGAAGAAGCGGGACGTGCCGCCCCTCGGCGCAGACGGGCGCCAGAGTGGACGAGCTGGACGGCAAGCGACGAACGGCGGAGGCGCCCGCCTCTCTTCGCCCCCCCCTTGGGCCGTGCAGCTCCTCGACACGACCTGAGCGACAGGGGGGCCGGGCAGGCGGGACAAGGAGGGTGCACACGGAGGCAAGGCGACACTTCGGTGAAGAGAGACGATGCGCACGAACGAGTAGCGCCATCCGCGGAAGGAGCAGCGTCATGTCGAGGCCTTTGCCCTCCTTCCTCCTTCCCCCCCCTCCTCCTCGGCCTCGGCCCTTCTTCCTCCTCCCTCATCCTAGGCCGCGTCATGGAGCCGGCTGGACTCTGAGGTGGCCCAGCACTGGTTCCGGCCAGCAGGGAGGGCGAGGAAGCGCGGGCAGGTGCGAGGTTCTGGGTTCCACAATTACTCAATAAGAGTACTACTCTCCCTCTTCCCCTGATGGCGTGCTGGGAATACTCGACCCCCCCCCACGTATTGTTTTTTTGCACACAGGAGTCCTGGGAGTTGGGTTGTCGCCTGCTTTTTTTTCAAAATGCTGCTCTCGCTGAGGCGCCGGCCTCATTTCTGCTCCCAATTCGTTCCGAATCGTGCAGCGTGGGCCTCATTTTCGGATCGGTGTTTTGCCTCCGTCGTTCAGGATGGCGTTCTCGCCCCAGCGCGGGCCTCTTTCTCGCGCGCCCATCCGCCCGCCACCACCGCGCCGCACCACGCCCCGCCCCGCCGCACGCACACCCACCGCCACTTCCACCCACCAACGCACGCACGCACGCACGCGCACCACCACCGCGCACCGCCACCACCACCGCACTACCCCACCCACCACCACCACGCTACACCGCGTCACACCACATCACACGCGCGCACACACACACGCACACGCACGCACGCACGCACGCACGCACGCACGCACACACACACACACACACACACACACACACACACACACACACACACAACACACACACACACGCACACAGCACACACAGACACACACACACACACACCACCGACGTACGCACCTGGCCCACCACCAAACCACCAAGACGCCACACCACGTCACACCACAGCACACGCGCACACACGCACACACACACATACACACCACCACCACAACAACCACAACCACGCACACACGCACGCACGCACGCGCACCACCACCCACTACGCACACGCGCGCGGAGCCACAGGTCCGCTACGACACGCGTCCGCGGATAGAGAAAATCAGCGCCATGGTAAGGGATGGGAGGGAGGGGTAGGATGTCAGATGTTGACGCGAGCGCACCTAACTTGTCCTTCCCCCTCCCCCTCCTCCTCGGCCTCGGCCCTTCTTCCTCCTCCCTCATCCTAGGCCGCATCTTGGAGCCGGCTGTGGTCTGAGGTGGCCCAGCACTGGTTCCGGCCAGCAGGGAGGGCGAGGAAGGGCGGGCAGGTGCGAGGTTCTGGGTTCGCAACTCTCGGTCCCCAGGGCAATGAAAGATTGATCTAGGGTGGAAAATTGCACTAGATGGTCCCTGGGAGGGGGCCTCATCCCCCCTCTTGACACGTTTTCTGTTGTCCCAACCAGTTCAGACCCCCCGACCGCCTCCAATTTGGGCCACGGATGTCCTCGACACGACCCCCGCAGCAGAGCGGCAGGAAGGAGGCGGGAGGGAGGGAGGTCCCCGTCCCACTCTGGCTCTTCTTCCGTCCTCCTCGTTCTCCTGTCGTGTTCGCCTTTTGGCGACCTCTTGGGAAGCCCTCGTCGCCACGGCCAGATTTGCCCGTTGGATACTGGGGGGCATCCGGAGGCGAGGGAGAACGAGGCCAGGAAGGAAGACAGGAAGGTTCCTCATATTCTGGCGCCTCCTCCTCCTTTTCCTCCTCCTCTGCCTCCTTTTCCTCCTCCTCCTCCTCCTCCTCCTCCTCCTCCTCCTCCTCCTCCTCCTCCTCCTCCTCCTCCTCCTCTACAATTACTCAATATGAATACTACTCTCCCTCTTCCCCCGATGGCGGCCTGAAAGTAGCCGACCCCCCCCCGCGTCCTGCTTTTTTACACAGGATTCCCGGGAGTTGGGTTTTCGCCTGCATTTTTGTTTCAAAATGCTGCTCTCGCCGAGGCGCCGGCCTCATTTTCGGGCCCCGCTCGTTCCGAATCGTGCTCCCGCTGCAGCGCTGGCCTTATTTCCGTGCTTCCGCTCGTTTCGAATCGTGCTCCCGCTGCAGCGCTGGCCTCATTTCCGTGCTTCCGCCCGTTTCGACTCGTGCTCCCGCTGCAGCGCTGGCGTCATTTCCCGTGCCATGCCACAGCACACGCGCACACACGCACACACACACACACCAACACCACCACCACCACCACCACCACCACCACCACCACCACCACCACCACCACCACCACCACCACCACCACGCACACACGCACGCACGCACGCACGCACGCACGCACGCACGCACGCACGCACGCACGCACGCGCACCACCACCCACTAGTCCGCGGATAGAGAAAATCAGCGCCATGGTAAGGGATGGGAGGGAGGGGTAGGACGTCATATATGTCGCGCGCGCACCTAGCTTGTCCTCCTCCTCCTCCCCCTCCTCCTCCTCCTTCTCATCCTCCTCCTCCTCCTCCTCCTTCCCCCCCATCCAAACTCGTGCTCATTGCCTGGAGGGCTCCTCGAGTGTTGCGATTGAGGCAGCATCACTCAGTAGGGGTCGCACATGCAGAACTCGGGTTACCAGCATGAGAGTGCTGCAGTGATATATGCATCAAAGTCCATGCAGTTGAAGTGTTTGATGAGTTCGTTGCTAGGCAGCCAGCGCTTGATCATTTCACGTTGCACATTGACGATTCTGGCATCCAGATCTCCAGCTCCACTCGCGAGAAGGCTATCCAGCTTGCGATCCGGCTTGGCGTGATTTGTACGATGCGAGTAAGAAAATGAATGCCGTGTCGTAGGCAGTGACCTCTCTTGCGAGAGCGACTGATTGCGGAATCGGGCTTGAGCCCACAGTAGCTAGAGCCTCTGTCACGTACCTCGGCGTAGATGACGCTGCAGGTGCGAAGCGTACTGCTGCTCGTGTTCGTGTCAAGCAGCGGTCCCGCCTCTGGGACATGAAATTACGTCTGAAAATATACGCAGGTTTACAGCCAAAGCACCCAACAAGGAGGCCTAGAAGGGTCTTCCACAGGTCTCGCACGGGTGTTGCGCCTGCTTCGTCGCATGGTTCGGAGGTCCTTGGTTTCTCGGACGTTGAGCTCAACACTCTGCGAAGGGCCCAAGCTCGAATATTGCCTCCGTCTCATGCAGGAGCGAGTGCCACTGCTAAACATGTTCTGTATGGGGAGTGGGACACGCGTGTTGCTGTGGCTCCTGCACTTCAGTGGTGTCGAATGCTTTGGAATGCGCAGGTTAAGCCCACTCGTTCCCTGATGTCCTTCCAAGAGTTGCTCCAACTTTGGGGGCAGGCTATGGCCAGCGACGCTGGTGATTGGAGATCCAGACGTGGCACCCTCGCGCGCGCAACCTTGTCGGCACGTCGGGCTGGATGGAAGTGTCAGGAACGCAGTGGATCGACCATTGGGACTGCACGATCGACAGTTGCAAGGCCCCCCTCGCCTCCTCCTCGATCTCCTCCACGAGGGCCTTCAGAGAGAGGCTGAGCTTTGTCTTGCTCTGAGGTCTGGCCGCGCAGCAAGAATGCCAGCAACCTCTGACATCGCCCGACGGTGCATGTGCACGTGCGTCAAGGATCAGACTCGCCAGCAGCAGTTTATGTTGCTTTAGCGCGCCACAAATATGCGATTTGGATTGAGGTGTGTGCGCGTGATAGAAGGTACCTGACCGAGGGCATGTGCGCGTGCGACAAGCGCGGCACGGTGTACCACCGTTTGTGCACGTGCGAGTTGCCAAAGATCGCTGGCGCCAGGCAGCCCGCAGGAATTCCGGAGGCGTTTCTTGAGGAGGGGGCGCGTAGCGAGGAAGCGGTGACCCGCTGTCACTCGTGGTAGGTGTTTTGTTTGTTGATGAAGATGTGCCCCCTCCCTCCGCCTCTGCACAGTGCACCATTCTCGACGGCGCAGGTAATGATTTGAAAATGCAACCTGGGGAACTGGCGTCGTTGGCAGAAGATGCGTTGGAGCCGGAGATTACCGCCGGCGGCAGCTGCACCGAGCAGGCCCTGCGGTGCTTGCACCGTGTCTCGTGGGCCATCGCGCTAATGGAGCCAAGCAACGAATCTCCCTTAGCAGTCTTGAGGGTATCGTGCCAGGGGGGGGGGCCTCAATCACCAGTAATGCAGGGCATGCAAGCGTCTATGTGTGGGCAAGTAGCTGATAGCCCCACTTCCCTGGCCCTCGATTGCACGGCTGCGGTCTGCCAGACCCAGCGGTTTCTTGGGAAACAATTCGATGGCGAAAAAATTGCTGACGCCAGGCGGTTTGCCCATGGATTACGTAGTTGGGACAGATGTATTGCCGCGAAGGCCCACAGAACTTTCGATGCCCTCGAAAGCCTGCTGGGCGATGAGCGCAGGCTTCGGTTTGCGAATCGAGCGTGGACGAGAATGCCAAGATGGCCCTAGAGGGCTACCGTCGGCCCGACCCGTCCTTTCTACAACATGATGAATTGCATCAAAATCCAGATGGTGTGTTTGTGAAGCTTGCCTTCGCGATCCTACCCGCGTCCAAGAAGAATTTGGTAATGTGGCAAGATGGAAGCGAGTTCTTTTTCTGCAGACTGGCCGAAGCCGTCAGATGAAGACGTGGCGCCTATTGGGAAGTACGGAGCAGTTTCTGTTGGATGTTGTGCGATCGACCCGACAGGCCCGTGTTTGGGCGCAAGGGTCCGCCTCTTGCGTTCCAGAAGCTGATGCGTCTCGATCGGGCATCAGCTCGTCGCCGCGTCGGGCGCAGCCCTTGATGTTCTTTGGCGAGTTTAGTCCTGGGGCCGCGTCGTGATCAGCAGATTCTGCGCGTAAGTTGCGGGGCTGGTCTCCAGGGGGAGCCCCGAAGCTCGCTGAGGTTTGCGGTGGGCCGACGCGCGAGGGACTGGACGCCCCGGGTCGTTTTCTGCGGGGGCCCGGCCCCAACGTGGGAATCAAAGTTGCGGTGAATACGGAATTGCCCGATGCGCGGCTTGATGATGGCGCCAGAAGTCCTGATGATAAGCCTGATCAGTGCGTTACCTCAGTGCCCCGAGCTTTCTCGGAATCTCCTGCAAAGGACCTTGGGGGCTGTTTAACTCGGGCCGGTCCCCCCGCATGCTGTCGGTGCTGGCACCTCTCGGCCTTTCAGGGCGCTGCCCATCCATCCATCCTCCATCCTCTTCCTTCTTCCTCCCCCTCCCTCACATCGATGTAATGTTGTCCGAGCTTACAGGGCGGGCCCTCCTTTGCTCTGTGCACCTCCTCAGCCTTTTTGGCTCCACCGGCCGCCATCTGTGAGGAGGGGGCGCATGGCGAGGAAGCGGTGACCCCGCTGTCACTCGTGGTAGGTGTTTTGTTTGCTGATGAAGATGTGCCCCCTCCCTCCGCCTCTGCACAGTGCGCCATTCTCGACGGCGCAGGTAATGATTTGAAAATGCAACCTGGGGAACTGGCGCCGCTGGCAGAAGATGCGTTGGAGCTAGGAGGAGTCGGCTTGCAGGGGGGGCCGGGCGCGGGGGGGGGCGCCAGCGACCGCGCCGATTCCATCGCGGCCCGCTGCCCCTTCCCGGGACTCTCAGGAATCCTCCGGGCCCAGTCGGCCTCGCAGTCGGCGCCGGCGTCGCGTCGCCCGCGAGGGCCAGCCGGCGGGCGGGCCGACCTTGTTGCGCACGTTTGGCGCGAGAGACCCGCGCGGGCCTCGCGCTGTGCCCGCGCCCCAGGGCGACGGCCCAGGCCCCTGTAGCCCCCCGCGCTGACGCGATGGCCTCGCGCTGGGCGCAGGAGCGGGCGCCGCCGACCGTTCGGTTCGGTTCCGCGCGCTCCTCATGCGAGAACGCAAAGCCCCCCGTGCTGCTCGCGCGCTTTGCGCGCTGAGCAATGCGATGCAGTTGCGACGGCCGCGCGTTCAATTGGAAACCGCAGCGCAAGTTTCCATTCCCGCGCGCGGGGCGGGGCATGAACTTACAGATGCGCCGACGGTCGAGAACTCGCGCGCGCGCCCGCGCCTGCCATGTTGGGCGTGCGCACTGGGTCCTGAAATCTGCGGCTCGGCTGCCCGATGCGCCCCGAAAATCGCTCCGCCCCCCCCCGCCCCCCCCCTTCAAAACTCTTCCGCGCTCCTGGAGAAACCATGCCGCCGAGGCGGGGGCTCGGGCCGCGGCCTGATGGCCCCCGGGGCACAAGGGAATCAAAGGAATCAGCACGGAATCAGCACAGAATCAAAACAGAATCGGCACAACTGCGACCCCTGATTCTAGCGGAATCAAAAGAATCAGCACGGAATCAATACGGAATCAAAGGAGGAATCGGCGATGAAAACAGAATCGGCCAGAACGGGGAAGTAGGCCAGAATCGGTGCCAGAACCCATGGAGAGAGGCATTTTTCCCGCGAGTTCATTGCGGCGGGTCCGCGGCGCGGGCGCGCCGCGCGGCTCCGCTGGTCCAGCGAGGCGCGCAGTCGGCGTTCAGAGTGAACAGGGTGTTTTAAGGGCGATATCCTGGCGGCGCGCTGGCGCATTTGCGCATTTGCGCATTCCTGGCGGGCCGTTTGAGGGCGACCCGGCAGCGTCGGCCGAATGGCCCGCAAATGCCGCGCGGCCGATCGCGCGCCCCATGCGGCCACGTCGACCGCCGTGTGCCGCGACGGCCGCGCGCCCCGGACCGCGCCATAGCCGCCTTGGATTGGACGGCGCAGCGCCCGTTTTCCAAAAGTCGTCACATGCATATCGCGCGTGTCGAGCCAGCAGCAATCGCTCCCAGATGCAGCCTTGACAGGCGCCCCATGCCCGTTGTCGCCCGGTTCCGATCCAAATCATAGTTTCTTAGGATGCGCTTGCGCGAATGTGAGCGCGCGGGCAAGTAACACGTGCGCGCTTGGCGCAGCCTGGGAAATCCAACATGGAGCCCCCCGGGGGCGCGGGGCGCCGGCGACGCCTCCGCCCGCCTCCCGCGCGCCCGACCCCCCCCCGCAAGCCGACTCCTCCTAGTTGGAGCCGGAGATGACCGCCGACGGCAGCTGCACCGAGCAGGCCCTCCGATGCTTGCACCGTGTCTCGTGGGCCATTGCGCTAATGGAGCCAAGCAACGAATCTCCCTTAGCAGTCTTGAGGGGTATCGTGCCAGGGGGGGTGCCTCAATCACAAGTAATGCAGGGCATGCAAGCGTCTATGTGTGGGCAAGGAGCTGATAGCCCCACTTCCCTGGCCCTCGATTGCAAGGCTGTGGTCTGCCAGACCCAGCGATTTCTTGGGAAACAATTCGATGGCGAAAAAATTGCTGACGCCAGGCGGTTTGCCCATGGATTACGTAGTTGGGACAGATTTATTGTCCTGGTTTCGCGCGAAGGCCCACATAACGTTCGATGCCCTCGAAAGCCTGCTGGGCGATGAGCGCAGGCTTCGGTTTGCGAGTCGAGCGTGGACGAGAATGCCAAGATGGCCCTAGAGGGCTACCGTCGGCCCGACCCGTCCTTTCTACAACATGATGAATTGCATCAAAATCCAGATGGTGTGTTTGTGAAGTTTGCCTTCGCGATCCTACCCGCAGCCAAGAAGAATTTGGTAATATGGCAAGATGGAAGCGAGTTCTTTTTCTGCAGACTGGCCGAAGCCGTCAGATGAAGACGTGGCGCCTATTGGGAAGTACGGAACAGTTTCTGTTGGATGTTGTGCGATCGACCCGACAGGCCCGCGTCTGGGCGCAAGGGTCCGCCTCTTGCGTTCCAGAAGCTGCTGCGTCTCGATCGGGCATCAGCTCGTCGCCGCGTCGGGCGCAGCCCTTGATGTTCTTTGGCGAGGTTAGTCCTGGGGCCGCGTCGTGATCAGCAGATTCTGCGCGTAAGTTGCGGGGCTGGTCTCCAGGGGGAGCCCCGAAGCTCGCTGAGGTTTGTGGTGGGCCGACGCGCGAGGGACTGGACGTCCCGGGTCGTTTTCTGCGGGGGTCCGGCCCCAACGTGGGAATCAAAGTTGCGGTAAATAGGAGTTGCCCGATGCGCGGCTTGATGATGGCGCCAGAAGTCCTGATGATAAGCCTGATCAGTGCGTTACCTCAGTGCCCCGAGCTTTCTCGGAATCTCCTGCAAAGGACCTCGGGGGCTGTTTAACTCGGGCCGGTCCCCCCACATGCTGTTGGTGCTGGCACCTCTCGGCCTTTCAGGGCGCTGCCCATCCATCCATCCTCCTCCTTTCTCCTCCTTCCTCCATCCTCTTCCTTCTTCCTCCCCCTCCCTCACATCGATGTAATGTTGTCCGAGCTTGCAG